GCCGTTGGTTTGTTTTTCAAAGTTTTATATTTCTTGAATTTGATTTTTTTCAAAATTTCAAATTTTTGAATTTTTATATTTTTGAATTTATATATTTTTGAATTTTTATATTTTTCGAAATTTTATATTTTTTGAAATTTTATATTTTTCGAAATTTTATATTTTTCGAATTTTTATATTTTTGCGAAATTATTTATTTTTCGAATTTTTATATTTTTCGAAATTTGTATTTTTTGGTTTTTCCATTTTTCGTTGTGTTAAGTTTTATATTTCTCGTGTTCTCGACTTTTTGGGTTTGTTTTCTGTTGTCGATCGTCGTCGTTCGTCGCTTGTCACTCGTGACTTGTCACCTGTCGTTTGTTGTTAGTCTCTAGTTTGTCGTCGAGTCTCTCGCCGTTCGTTGTTCTTTGCTTGTCGGTTGTCGCGCGTCCTTCTTTGTTCGTCGGTTTCACGTTCGCCGTTGGTCGTTTGTCATTTGTCGTTCGTTTATCGTCATTTATCGTCCATCATTTGCCGTTGGTTTGTTTTTCGAAATTTTGTAACGAACGGCAAAGAAGAGACAAGCTATGAGCGACGAATGACAACCGGCAATCGTTGACCACCGAGATAAAATCACGAGTGACGATCGACGAGAGTTGATCGACTATTAACCTCTAACACAACAAGTATAAAAAAATCGAATATCTAAAAATTTGAAAAGACAAAAATATAGAAATTCCAAAATTTTAAAAATTTGAAAAATCTCAACTGTCAATACAAGACATCAATAAATATAAACATTCGAAAAATATTAACTTTTGAAAAAGAAAAATTCCAAATATGTTATAATTTGCGAAATATAAAAATTCGAAATAAATAGTTATATAAATATTTCGAATGGTTTTAAAATTAAAAAAGAGCGAATTTTGAAGATGAAATGAAGAAGAAAAATGTAAACCAACGACGAACGGTGAATATTGAATGACGAACGAAAAACGACCAACAAAGAAAGGCTAACGACAAGAGAGGACGACGATCAACGTCAAACGACGAACGACAAAATACAAACAACAAACGCCAAACAACAGGCGACATACGACGATAGACGTACAACGAACGACGAAAGGCGAACGGCGAACGGACGAACAGCGAATGACGAGCGAAAAGAAATGAGCGACAAACGACGAGCGGCGAGTGACGAGCTACGAACTACGAACGATGAAAATCGGTCGTCGAATAACCACAAACACAAAAAGTGAAGAAAACGATATATATATATATATATATATATATATATATATATATCGTATATATATATATATATATATATATATATATATACATTCAAAAATATAAAAATTCGAAGAATATAAAATTTTGAAAATTGTAAAAATTCGAAAAATATAAACTATCGACGAACAAGGAACGAATGCGGAACGACGAATGGCGAACAACGATCGACAAACGACGAACAATGAACTAAGAAGGCCGAACAACATCTAGCCAACGATGGTCGATGAGCGACGACCGACAAGCAACGAACGATGAATGACGAACGACGAAAGACCATCGACGAAAGACAATCGACGAATACCTACAAGTGTAAAAAATGAAAAATATAAAAATTCGAAAATGAAAAATTCGAAAAATATAAAAATTTGAAAGAATACTGGCGAACGACAATGAGCGACCAGCGATGAGCGAAGAATGACGAGCTAAAAGTGACGAGCGACGAAAGATGTACTATGAATGACAAACGACGAACAAGAAAGACATACAAACAACGGCGACTGAAGAACAAAGGCACAAGTGACGAGCATCGTGCGAAAAACGGCGAACGACAAAATTCAAATGGATATAGACGAAAGACCAAAACACTGAAGTTAAAAAAACGAAAAATTTAAATATTCAAAGAAACGGAAAAATATAAAAATTTTAAAAATATATATTTTTTGAAATATTAAAAATTCGAAAATATAAATGAACGATGAAGGGCGAACAACAAATGCTGAACCTCAAAAAACGAACAAGGAATTGGAACGACGAAAGGCGAACGACGAGCGACGAACGATCACTGAAAAACGACGATTGACAAACGACAAACGACAGGCGACAAATGACGATAGACGAACAACGAACGACGCACGACCAACAACGAACGACGAGCGGCGAACGACGAGCGACAAGCGTCGAGCGACAAACGACGAGCGGCGAGTGTCGAGCGACGAAGCAACGAACGACGGGTGACAAGCGACGAGCGACGAAAGACGATCGATGCACTATCACAAACATCACAAAAAGTGGGAAAATGAAAAACTAGAAAAAAATATAAAATTCAGAAAATATTAAAATTCGAAACATAAAAATTTAAATAATAAAAATTTAAAAAATTATATAAAACTCAAAAAACAACGAACGCTGATCAACGAACGACAAATGAATGACAAACGACGAAGAAACGTGAACGACGAACAGCACACACCGAACGACAGAAGACAAACGATGAGCGACGAGCGATGAGCTACGATCGACGTGCGACGAGCGATGAACAAAGAACGAAAACGAGCAACAAAAGTATAAAATCCAAAAAATTAAAAAAATCGAAAAATATAAAAATTGGAAATTTATAAAATTTTGAAAAATGTAAATTTTGAAAAAAAAGAAAAAATAATTATTCGAAAAAGGTACAATTTCAAAAAATATATCCGAACGACGAACGGCAAACAACAAATGCTGAGTGACCAAGGACGAACGAAGAACGGGAAGGACGAAAACCGAACGACGAGCGACGAATGATCACCGACAATCGAGGAACGACAAAAGACGAACGACTGGCGACAAACGCTCATAGAAGCTGAACGACGAACGGCTACGAGCGACGAGAGACAAGCGACGAAGAACGAAAGACAACGACGTACGACCACAAACACTAAAAGTGGAAAAAACAAAAAATCTAAAAACATGAAAAAATAAATACAAAATTCTAAAAATATACAAATTCAAAAATATAAAAAACTTGAAATATATAAAATTTTGAAAATTATAAAAATTCGAAAAATATAAACCAACCGCAAACGATGGACGACGAATGACGATAGACAAATGACGGACGACGAACGACGAACGACCAACGGCGAACGGACGAACTGCGAAAGACGATCGACAAGTGTCGAGCGACAAACGACGAATGGCGAGTAACGAGCGACGAGAAAGAAGCGTAGAGCAATGAACGACGTGTGACAAGCGACGAGCGACAAACGACGAACGGCGAAAGACGATCGACGCAAGACCACAAACACAAAAAATGGGAAAAAACGAAAAATCTAAAAATTCCCCAAAACGAAAAATATAAAAAAATGAATACAAAATTCGAAAAATGTTAAAATATAATGAATATAAAAATTTAAAAATATAAAATTTCGAAAAATAAAACAATTGGAAAGTATAAAAATTCGTAAAATGTAAAACTTTCAACAATAATAAATTTCGTAAAATATAAAAATTTTAAAAATATATTCGAAATATATATAAATTCAAGAAATGTAAATATTCGAAGAATATACAAATTCAAAAAAATTAAAAATTCGAAACATTAAAACGATTGACGAATGACGAAAGACGAACGATGAACAACCAAAGACGAAAGAAGACCAAGAACTACGAAAGATAAACGACTCACGATGAAAGGCAAAACACGAACGACGAACGACAAACCACAGAGACAAATGACAAATGACGACAGACGAAATACGAAAGACAGACGAAACACGAACGACGAACGAAGAAACGACGGACGAAACACAAATGCCGAAATGATGAAAGACGAACCACGAAAGTCAAAAGTCGAAGAAACGACGAACGACTAAAGTCGAAAGCCGAAAGACGCAAGACAAACGAACGAACGAGGAAAGCCGAAAAATTCCGAAAATGTCGAAAAAGATATAATAATTTTGAAAAAAATTTAAATTAAAAAAATAGAACAATTCGAAAAATATAAACATTTAAAATATTTAAATTCGAAAAATATAAACGAACGACGAACGACGGACCGACGGCGGACGGCGGAACGACGAACGGCGAACGGCGAACGGCGAACGGCGAACGGCGAACGACGAACGACGAATGACGAGCGATGAGTGAAGAGCGACGAATGACAATCGACGAGCGACGAGCGGCGAGCGACGTGAAACAAGCCACGTGCAACGAACTACGAGCGAGAGCTACGAGGGACGAACGACGAACGACGAAACACAAAGTGGAAAAAATCTAAAAATTCAAAAAAACAAAAAAATATAAAATTCGTAAAAATATAATAATTTAAAAATATGAAAATTCGAAAAATATAAAATTTCGACAGTAATAAAAATTTGAAAAATATGAACGAACGATTAACGACAAACGGCGAACGACGAAAGACGAACATGAAAGACGAACGAAGAGAGACAAACGACGAATGGTTTAGATTTATTTGTGATCTTATAAAAAGATGACAATCAGCTTATAGGATGTAAAACAATTTTGATCAATAAACTTTCAGAGACTTTAGATACGCATAATAGAAACCAATTAATGATAGATGCAGAATCACTTAAGTGATCATTGTCTTTTCACAAAATTTGTAAGTCTTTGGAAACATAATGGATCTAATCTTCGACACATGTGGTGTTAGATTCAGAGAACATAGTATACCTAATTCACTTCAACAAATATCAGAGGAACTAAATAGGCATTTTTCTTGGAGTTGGACAACCAGAGGTAAGAATAGAAAATGGCCTAAAATTTTATCTCGAGGCCCCTTCAGATTCACTCTTAAATCACTTTGTGGTCCCTTAGACTGCAGTGTTTGAAGAATCTATTATTGAAAGAAATTGAAGAGATAAACTAATTTATTATTAAAAGAAATTGTGTTCTACTATTCATTACAATGAATTATTAATTAGGTGTAGATGTCGTTTCATCGTAATTCAGGGGTTACGTTTGGCCATTAAAATATTTTTTGAGAAAAAGAAGCAATTATCATTAAATAAATCTTTATTCAATCAATACATTTTACAAAGTGCTCATAAATGGTTATAAGTTTATATCAAGATGTAACTAATGATAAAATCCTCATTAGTCATCAAACACCATAAAAATTTATAGCTAATGAAAATTCTGGAAATTTCATAAGCTATTACATTTCTTTATCATATAATATTGTGTATTAGAATAACAATTCCTTGAATTAAGATGTGCTCACAAATATAAGAATATATGAATGCACATTATATTTCTCAAATGTCATACAATGTCATACAGAGAAATTGGCAATATGTGAGGAAATATATTTACGTTTAAAATTCTTTTATTTTACAAATATTTGAGCCATGGCCAGTAACAAGCAGAGAGTTCAATTTATGAATTCATAGCTATTATTATTATTATTATTATTATTATTATTATTATTATTATTATTATTATTATTATTATTATTTATAATGAAGCAACATTTTATTGTCATACATTATGTAAGGCTCAATGAAATTGGAAAGTTATGTATACTTCAGAGTAAAATTGGTGTTGGCAAAAAGTTGGTTGTAAAGCTTTCATTGCAAAAATGTGTAGAATAGCTAGTTGGAAAATGATGTGAGCAATATTATTTGATCCACAAAAATCAATTGATGAACAAGACAGTAATTTTTTCATGAACTGTGAATGAATATGAGTCTAAAATTTTTTTTTCTCTCATATCAAAGGTCTGAGTCTGTAAGCAATTTATGTTTATATAATGTATGTGATTATAAAATTTGACTTACAATAATCTCCCCGTTTGTTCTTTTATACAATATTCTACTCAAACTCTTGTCATGTAAATTTCCTATTACATCTTGATCCACCAGAAAAAAGTTTTGGAGATATTCCATATTTTTATTAAACTAGATAATTTAAATGTTTTGTGTTTTAATTTTTTCAGTTTTAATTCACTGCTTGTCCAAGCTGCATGGAAATAATTTCCTCCTTTGCATAATTTACATCAATTCATAACTTATATTGCCAATTCAATAGGGAAGAACTCCAAACTGGAGAAGCCATTATTATAATTATTAATCTTTACTATATCAATAACAACATTCTTAAATACAAACTTAAAAATATTTAAAATATTATTTATTATTCACTTTAATTAATGTACAATTCATTTCAATTGATATCTCATGCATACATGGATATACAAATTCATCAGAGAAATCTTTTAGAATGTTACAATTTGTCTGAATAAAATTGCAATAATAGTAGGAATGTTATATATTTTGTTTTAGAAATAAGTGTTCAAAAGTATAACATATTGTGAGAATATGCTCATATGACAACTACTTTAAAAAGGATATCAAAAGACAATATGTTATGTTTGATATGTGTAAACTAAAATATTAACTTGTATAGGTTTTCTTTTCTCAATTGCATTCATAATAATACTGACTTATTTGTTCCCAATTATTTTCTATGCTATTTCTCATCTCCAAATCTCTACCCAATTTGATTTTTAAGCAAATGCCAGTTGACTTAAGATTGAAGGTATCGGAATTCAACAAATTTAATTTTTTTAAAATTATTTTTGGATTTATATCTTATAAGTAAGAAATTTGGCACACATGAAAAATAGTTTAAATCATGTTTTTCTGAGAATTGAAACTCAATGTTTTATAGGAGACTTTGTGCTCTTTCATTAGATTGGCATGTAAATATTTTCAAAATAATATAATAGAAAAAAAAGTGCTGAATTGGAACCTTACTTTGAGATACTATTGAAATTATTAAATACTATTATTAAATACTATTGTTTGCTTTGTTTCATAGGGCTTGTAATTGACATTTCAACCTAAAAACATTGTTTTCTCAACCATTCACTAGTGCCACAAATGATGTTTTGAGAAATATGTATCTGTCTTTTGATAAATATAATTCAGAGTTCAATTTTGAATAGCATGTTCTGCTTCACAAAGAATTTATTTTGTATTTACAATGTTCAAAATCTAGAATGTGATTTACAATGATGATGTATGTGCATCAGTAATGTTGTAGGACTTTTAATATCAATACCAAGTTTTTTGTATATTCCAAATTGCTATTTTATATGTATAAATTATATCACTTATACTTATTTATAAAGCACGATGTCAACAGCACTTCTTAGTGTTACAATAAGACCAAAATTTTCTTGTCTGATAAGTGAGCCCATTTTCAGAAGTACTCCAATTCTGTGGAAAATATAAAAGGAATAGATTTAAATTGAGGAGGAATTTTAATACCAAGAAAATATTTTTTAAATAGAAAGTATATTTATTTTTGCCTTCTATTGAAATTGAAGGAGGGGATGGTTTAAAATAGTCATCAAATTATTTCTAGTACTGTTTTGGTTATGGTTTATTACTCAAATTTCCAATTTGGTTTTCTGAGTTTGTTGATAATAAAACATTTTCATTTTAGTACACAAACTATTAAAAGGATTCCATATCTTTTTATTAGAACCAAAAATTAAAAATTATTTTTATAATTAACGCACAGAATTATAAAAAAAATGAAAGTGAAGCAACTCACTGGGCAGTTTATGACAAAATAACACATTTACTAGCACAATAGGTGAATCCTTTCTTTACAATTTTAGAGAATACTGCTAGAGAATATTAATTGGTCATCTCCAAAATATATGTCTCTCAAAATTTCTTTGTTGATTCTTTAAATATTTTATTTTAATTTAATATTACCAACAATAAATAGGAGATTCAGAAATGTAGCCTCCCCCTCCTGTTTAGGATGTACACCATATTTAAACCAACATCATGAAGAAAAATTCATTTCACACCTTCATGGAAGTCTGTCATCTGTGAATGGCTGGTGGTGATGGAGGAGTTGGTGGAAGTACAGAAAGACCAACTGGCCCTCCTAGCACCAAAGCAGAAGGGGACAACTCCCAGTAACCAGATGCATGGAAGGCTGTGTTAGCCAAAACCAAAGTGTATTCACAGAATGCAAATATTGAATACATATATGGTTCACAATACCAATTGTGCCTGCAAATAAATCATAATAGTAGTTTCTAATACTTAATATCAATATCCTCAATAGCAAGACCAAAGAGAAAATGTTCTATAAAGAAATAAATAAAAAATACAATGTAGATGTTATTAGAATTTCAAAAATGCTTATAAGTTAACAGTAGAAGAACACGGAACACCTTAATTCTGGTTAGTTTCTTTCATTATTTAAATTTTACATTTGTTAACAAAACATTTATCAAAATTGTTCATTGTTGGTATTTTACTTGAAACTATAGTACAAAAACATGCATAAAAATTGTTTTCCTTCTTTTTTTTTTTTTTTAGTTCCTTCGGCACTAGCACAGGTTTTTTGTATTACAGCTTGAAACTCCGTTTATACTTTTTGCACTTATACATTTTTCACATTCATATATTTTTTTTAGCATGGGAAAATCAAATACTTCCCATGCTAAAGTATTTCAGATATGTGTTTATATGTTTTTCACGCTTTTATGTTCATAAAGAAAGTTCCTTTAAGGCCAATAAGTTCCAAATGATAACGACATAGGTAACCAATGAGTGAGAACGTATATGTTATCATGGGGAATATTTGTATTGAATTCAGTATTCAGGTTGTTTAATTTTGTCACTATGTAGGGTACTTAGTTTTGTACCCTATACTAGTCACACTCATCTTGTAAATTTGTTATTCTAACAAAGCTTCAAAAACTCAGACGGTATAAAATTATTCTTTGCGGTAACTTCAATATAAATTGCCTCACACAATCCAGTAATGAAAATCTATTTAAAGACCTACTAAAATCATACAATTTACAAACAACCATAAATACACCAACACATGTATCCAAAATAGTAGCACTGCTATAGATCAAATAATAATAGATGCAAATAACCATTGTTTTTCTGTTGCTACATTTAATACAGGTTTCAGTGATCACACTGACCAGATTCTAACATTTCAAACAGAAACAAAAACCGTGGAACAGACAACTTACAAAGAAATAAGTAACTATTCCCAAGGAAACATAATAAAATTTCAAAACTTAGTCAGATTCGAAAATTGGAATGAAGTATGTAAGGCAACTGATACAAATGATAAGTTTAATTCATAAGACATATTAATGCCATTTTTCCTCAAAAACTCAAAAAGATCCGAAATAAGAAAACTAAATCATGGATTACCACCAATAATAATAACAGAAAAAACATAAAGCTCCACTACAAAAACCAAACTGTACAAGACCCACAAGAAATAGCTGATATATTCAATTAACACTTTTCACAAATTAGTAATAAGTTAAGCTCTCTAAACACTCTCTAAACAATAAAACTCACCAACCAAACACTAATATTACACAAATTGTAAATTCCATATTTTTATATGGAACCTCCCCCTCTGAAATTTTTAAAATCATTGGACAAATGGAACACAAATTCTCAGCAGGCATGGACATTCCAGATTTTCTTATTAAATACAGTGCTCCAAATATAGTGCAACCACTCTCTCACATCTGCAATTACTCTCTAAAATCAGGCATATTCCCAGATATAGTCAAAAGAGCAATAGTTATGATCCAATGAACTACAGATCTATCTCCCTGTTATTAGGATTTTCAAAAAATCTGGAAAGGCTTTTCAATTATAGACTCAAACAATTTCTCAATGCAAATAATGTCCTTACAAATGCACAACATGGCTTCAGGAGTAATAGAT